AGTTCTTGACTCTCCAGAAGAGATGGAGGTACTGGGGGAAGGGCAACCAAGATGGCATAAGGGCTACCTGGTAGGATCTCAGAGAGCCTGAGAGGAGGCGGGGCTCAAGTCTAAGGGAAGGAGGCTTCGGAAAGATCTGGTGTTTAAAGAGGGAACTGCTAGGAGGAGGAGGTTTGGCCTTTGTTTCCATTAAGGACAAGCAAAAACCGAGGATCACGCGCATCGAGAAGGATTGAGGTAAAACACAACGAAGAAAAACCACACCCAACTCCCTGGCAACGTTTGCCCATCCCTGGGTTATGCTGCCCTTGGGAATAAGACTGGTGAACGTCATCACAGGGTGAAGTTTGAGTAAGGGTCCTTCCAGCTTCACGGTGTTGGTAAAACGTGAGGCATGCCTTCAGAACTGGCCGAGGGCCTGCCCTCTCTGTGAGGTGGAGCAACTTTGCAGAATCCCGCTTCCTAGGGAGAAGTTTCTAGAGAGCCATGCTACAAGCTGGATGAGTGAGGTCCCTTTGGAGGGATGAATGGAGTTTCCAAACGGGAGCTTCCCAGTCAGATCAGGCACGTGGTGGTTAGCCAGAAAGTAGGAGTGGGGTACCAGAGACCACAGCTACAGACCTCTCTTCCTGATTGTCTCTTGATTAAATTCATTCCTCAAAGAGATTTTGACCTCCTGCTGGGGACCAGGTATAAGAAGACAAACCCTGGGGATAAGGCAGTGGTTCTCAACCAGGTTCTCAACTTTGCTCCCCAGGGGACTCTTGGCAACACCTGCAGACATTTTTGTTGCCCCAACTGGGGCGATGGGGGGCAGGAGGGAGGGGTGCTACTGGCATCTCATGAGAGAGACCAGAAGTGCCGCTAAACATCCTACGGCGCCCAGGACAGTGCCTTACAACAGAGAGTCACCTAGTCCCAAATGTTAGTAGTGCCAAAGTGGAGAAACCCTGAGGTAAAGAAGGAAGATTCAATCCTGCTTTCACAGAATTTCATCTGTTCATCATGGTATTTCTTCATATGGCTTGAAATGTGCCCTAACGAAAATGTCTGCGTTGAAAAAAACCCTTATTTGAAGCGATTCTGACTAAAACGGAATTCCCAGTGCCCCTCGGGACTGACGGGATAGGTCTAGTGATGGAAAGGGGTTCGTAACATTCTTCCTGACTGGGTGATCAGACTTTTGACTTAATTAGTTAGCAAGAGGGAGGGCAGCTTCCAGGTGACTTACCATCTTTGTCAGCAGAGTGAGCCTACACCTGTGAGTGTGTATCTAGAACCTAGGTGGATGGAAAACAACCTACAAGTTGGGTTAATATAGTCAACCTCAACGGTTCACCTCCTTTAATGTGCACGCTTTCGTAATTTCGGCAAGGCACACAGCTACAATCTCACTTTGCTCAGAAATCCTCAGGTCTAATAGCAGTTGCAGATGGATTATTTGCAGCATTTTGGAACTAGCCCTTTCCAGCACTCATATATACTACTTACTTTAAAATCAACCAATATGTTAATTAAAATAAATACCAATTTATTAAAATGGCACCCTAAGGACCTCAAGTACACCCTATTTTGTTTCGCTGATGTGGGAGGTCAGTTATTTGACCTGGTGGTAGTGAGCTGTTCTGGAAAATTGCCTTTCTTATTTAATGAGGAGTAAAGTCGGCCAGAATGACCTCTAATGCTTTTTTCCCTGCTGTTAAAGTTTTCAGCTTAGCAGCTTTTGAGTGTGGCTGTTAGAGGCTTGGCATCGCCAGTCTTCAGCTTGAAATCTCCCCTTTATGATTGTACCAAGTGCTCTGGGCATTCCAGTTAATTGGAATGGTTTCGAAAATAATTGAAAAAAAAATCTGTAATTCAGACTCTTCGCTAATTCCTACTGGTTTTTGCCCCCAAAGAATCCAAATTCCTGTGGGTTCACCGGGCTTCAAACCCAATATTTAAGAATCATTGCAAAGTACATATTTTTAAGTTGTTGATACTGAAAAAACTGAAAGCAAAAAACTCTTCTGAGCCTCAATTTCCTCACTTGTAAAATGGAATCTAAATCCTTTCCTGCTCTATTAATTATGGTATTTATGAAGATAATCACTGTATTGACATACTCTCTCAGTAATTGGCTACCTTTCCCTCCTTCCCTCCCTCCGTCCCATTTATCTCTCCTCCCTTCCTCCCTCCCTCCATCCCTTCCTTCCTCCCGTCTATCCCTCCCTCCCTCCTTCCTTTTGTTTGGAGTTTTCACCCTTGCAGACAAACTTTTTCATGCTTAAAGTATGAGAGTTTTGCATTTGAATCTAAACAAATCTTTGACCTCACTTTAGAATTTTCTACTCATTGTCAAGGGCTTCCTTGGTTAGGATAGTAACTGTATCATCTTTAAGTCTCTCATTTTCCGTCTAGTTTTTATTTTGCCAGGAGGATAACTACCCCCAAATATGGATCTTTGTAACTCGTTCCAATTTTTTATCATTTCTGAACTGAAGCCAGCCGAAGCCATCTTGACAAGTCTGAGCAAATATCAACATTCCTGGGGACTAATCCTATTTCCTAAAAGACTCTAAAAAGCTATTCTTTAGGCTAGTTGGTCCAAACATTTTTTTTTAAGGAGAAATGAGAAATTAAGTCACGAGAGTCTGACACAAATCCTGGAACCTGAAAGGAGGTTAGCTGGAGATGGCTGTGAGGGGTGGGGGAATAAGTGAGCAGGGCTCTCTGAGTCAGGCAGAAAAACCGTGGGGCCGGAGTTTGCCAGTGGCCCCCTCTGTGACTCTCGTGGGGATCACATGCCTCAGGCTAGGAACCAGGGTTCTGGGCTGATAATTCTTACACAAGGTTTTGCAGGAGAGGCCGTAGGCCTCTGCCCGGGGAGGGAGCGCAGAACTGAACCACCAGGGAACCCCAGGCTCACCATGGCCACAGCGACAAGCCCTTTGTTCTCCTGATTCCCTGGCCTGTAGGCAGCCAACTGGATGCCAGTTTCCATCAAAGGCTGGCAAGAGGGACAGGCAGAGGGGGTCACGGCCCCAATAGCACGAGCCTGAGCCTCGTCACTAGATATCACTCCGTGTAGACCTCACACACCTCACTGGGTAAGTCTCCCCAATGCCACAGCGGCCTCTTCCCAAAGGCCCCCGGCCACCAACGGCAGGCCCTGGGCTGGTGCAGAAGGGTGGCGGGAGACCTGTTCCAGGGACCTGTCCCAGGGCGAGGGGATAGGCCCTACCGACTCAACACCCCGCGGGGCTGTGGAGCCAACAATTCGCACCCAACCAGCACCGACGTATGGGGCACCTCCAGACACATCAAAGAGAAATCTGTGGCTTGAGGTTTATAATGTAATTACAGGCCGCAAATGCCTTCCTTTCCACCTATACGTCACTCAGCTTGCAGCACCTGCTTCTTCTACCGGCCAGACCGAGAATTCTGCTCCCTGGAGCCAGGTAAGCAGCAGCTCTGGCCGGTACGCTGGGAGGGCAGGGGCGGCACAGGTCACCGCACACGGGCACCAGAGGCATCAGCAAGGCACCGGGCACATCTGTGTCATCCGAGCCCGGAACGTGTGTGCCACGCTCGGGAAACAGGGCCACCGACCCAGTTTGGGCATGAAACTAGAAAAAGAGCGCCCGGTGTGGAGGCTGAGGGACGGAGTGCAGCCGGGCCGTGGAACAGGGCAGTTAGCCCGGCGAGCGACTGCTGCCTGCCTGTTAGCATCGCAGCGCACTTGGCCAAAGAAGGTTTAACAGCCCAGGACATGGGCAGGAGAGAGAGAATCCATTCGGGGTGCACAGGACGGGACCAGCTGAGACGGTAACCCTATCCACAGAGAGCCTGATAATAAAAGAACAGTCTCGCAACTGCTTTTCCTCCTGTTCATGTTCACAGTAACAGCTGGATACGTGCTAATTGCAAGACGTGAAGGAAAGAGCTCGGAGCTGAAAAGCGGGCCTGCCGTAGTCAGTCTCTCGCCAGCACGGTTTCAGACACGAGTGTGACGGGCCACCTAGCAGCTCTATTTTCACTGTGCCCTCACGGTTCCTGATTTGAGTGGGTGGCTCCGTGCTGTTCCCTTCTGCCGGATGCCTCGCTTCCGCCCAACGAGAAACTGCTGAGCCCCGGGTTCTCGGCCTGGCACCACTGGCGCTCGGGCTGGATCACCCGCTGCAGCGGGGGGGGGGGGGCAGGGGTGTGTTGGGGGGGAATGCCTGTGGGATGTTTAGCGAAGTCCCGGGTGTCTACCCACCAGATGCCAGTAGCATCCCCTCCCTGCTCCCCTCCGCTGCCTGTGACAACCAAATGTGTCTCCAGGCATTGCCAGATGTCCCCTGGGGAGGCACCATCACCCCAGTTGAGAAGCACTGGGCTGCACTGACAAGGAACAAAGACTTTCTCTTCCCTTCCCGGCCCCACTCCCAACTCTCTCTACCCCAGGCCAGGAACATCCAGGAGACATCTCCTGCTCCACCGGCAAAGGACTTACCTCTGGTCGCGAGCGGTCTTCAGTAACACCTTTGAGTTGCAAGCCCTTCAGTCATTCAGACCAATGCTCTTACTGCCTTTGAAAAGAAGGTCCTTTGCAGCTAAATTCTGGGAGGGGGTGGGGAGGAAGCAGGTAAATTTTCCTTTTAGACACATTTGTCTGTTTTAGTCTACAGCAGGCTCAGACACAGAATTCTCCACACCCAGGGTCTACGGCGACCCGGAGGGGGCCTCGGGGACTGGCAACTCACCTCCCCACCCCTTCTCTGTGCCACATTTTTACGAATGAAGAAAGCAAGGATTAGAGGGGGAAGTGACTTGCTCCAGGCCATACATATTCCAAGTCTTCCTTTTATGGGGGCAGAGGCCAATATAATCCTTCTCTGCCTGATGCGCCCGAAGAGCTTAAGGTCTCAAAACACGGAGAACTTGCAGTGCTTTACAAGCAACAGTTTTGGCCAAACCACACCAGTTAAGGAATGCAAATTTAAAAAATGATAGAATGCTGCAACCAATTAGTGCAAACAAACATTTATTGTGAAATATTCATCCTACCCTTTATTAGGTATTACATCATCAAAGCACTTTGTGGCAATGAAAATAGCTTTTTTTTTTACCCCTCTGATTCACCCAATATTCCATTAAAGCTGCAAAAAATGTGCAATCTGCTTGAAAAATAGGTTGCTCTTATTTACTCATTTGTGAAAAGTCAAAAATTAAAAAAGAAAACGATCCTAGCTTACAGGGCCTCTAGAGCCAATTCGCCTTCCCGCTTCCCAACTACTCCCCCAAATAATTAACAAAGATAATTTGTCTTAAATGCCTTTTTATAAAACCAATGCACCTTTCCCCATATTATAATCATAAAAATTTTAAAAAGCCATTATTTACTTTCTTGGAAAAAAGGTGGCCAGCCGTTGTTTTTTGATCGGGAGCATGTGTATTTCCTGGGAGTTCACTTTCTTTAACTTTATGCTCCGGTTTTTGACGGGTTTCCTAAGGGGCTCCGTGCTGCCCACGGGCTCTTCTCCTTGGCTGTTGATGTCGTAGCCCTGAAGCACGGAGTCTTCTCTTTTGAAGGAGAAGTTTTTGGTGGACACCCCCGAGAGGCCCTTGATCTTGCCGCAGAAGACGGTGGGCACGGCGTCTTCCACCGAGACGATCACCTTGGCCGCCTGGGACTCGCTCACCACGTCAGGGTGATTTTCGGCCTTGACGTCCCCGCCGGGCTGGCCGGGCGGCTGGGTGGGGTTGCTGCCCCCCACGTGGCTCTCCGTGGCCGAGGCCCCGGGGGCCGTGGCAGGGGCAAAGGGCGCGTCCCCGCCCCCGGGAAGTTTCTCCAGCGCCCCGTGAGCCGGGCGGTCCACTGACCCGCTGCCGTCGAACAGGGTCTCCACGGGAGGCTCAGATTTTCGGTGGGCCGCCAGCGACAGGTCTAGGGCCGCATCTTCCTGGCAGACGGGGGGACTGGCTTGGCCAGCCTTCAGCCAGGGCACCGACTTCATGGACAGATCCAGGGCCTCGTTCTCACTGCCCATCTTGATGACTGTGTGGCGGCTCAGCTGGAAGTACTCCCTCGGTTGGAGGAGATCGAAGGGCTTCAGTTCCTCCTTCTCCAGGGGGGGCTGGCCGCCTTTAAAGGGGTGCAGGCCAAAGGAAGACGGTGGCTTGGGGAAACTGGAGCCGAGCTTGGATTCAGGACTCTGAGGCACCGGGATGGGGATGGGGATGGGGACCGGCACGGGCAAGGGCACGATCACAGGGTAGGGCACCAAGAGGGTGGCCGGGGGCACCAGGGGGGACAGCGGGGAGTTAAAGGGCTGGGGGGGCACCGGGGTGTATCCAGGAGGAGGCTGACAGGGTGGGGGGCCGAGAGCACCCTGTGAGGGGAACAAATTCTGGAGCACGGCTTCAAATGGCAACGTGGGCTCCTGCGGCTGGCTGGGGATCCGCAGGTCCAGGAGCTGGGGTGGGGCCTCGGGGTCCTCGGCTCCCTGGAACAGGTTGTTGTGGATGGCACTGGAGGAGCACGGGGCCTCCTGCGGCAGGACCAGAGGGGAGTTGAGGTGCTGGAAGACGTGCTGCTCCAGCACCACGGGCAGCTGCACGGGGCCCTGCGTGGTCATGACATAGGTGGCATTGCCATTTGGGTTGAGCTCGGGCGCCGAGCTTCCCTCCACCTGCATGTGAATGGGCATCACCACCGGGCTCTCCCCGAGGCACAGGGGTTGCAGCACGGTGGCCGCCACCTTCAGAGCCACGCCGCTCTGAGACTCTGCCGGGGGGTTCAGGATGGACGGGGCCGGCACGGTCACCAGGGCCTTCTTTACCAGGTCAGTGGAGTTGATGTTCCAGGCTTCAGTGGTGATCAGCTGGGCCATGCCATTCTCCAGTCTGTTATTGGCCAAGGCTGGAGAGGAGTCGGTCATGTCCATGGAGAGGTTCTGGGACCGCAGGTCATCCATCACTCGGCTCTGATGCCACCGGGCCTGCAACATGGAACGCACAACGTGAATCTTCCGGCAGAGACTATTTATGACCCTCCCCTCCGAAGTGCTCGCTCTCTCTGCGTCTCTTAAAAGTTTCCGTAACTTAGTGAACCGGGGAGCACACCCATCTCTCTCTGTATACATACATGTTATAGATATTTCCTAATATATACAAACACACCCAAATGATCAGCTGTGCGCGGAGAGGCCCAATTTAACAGACGATTAAGCTATAAACACAGATGATGTAATGACTAAACAGCCAAGAGAGGTTAAACAGAGTATTTTTAAGCCTAATACTCGGCTTATATGTTTAGCTTTCGCCAAACACAAAGTTCCGTCCCACGGTGCTCTACTGGACGGTCAAGATGTGTGCAGATTTGACTCGTCCACACGCAGATGGGCAGCGAAGACTTACTTCACTTCGAGAACAAAATAAAATCCTGTCACGTTAGAACGTTCTAAGAGAACCGAAGAGGGCCACCCGGCTTACGGAAAGCATCTTAAAGACTCTCTGTAGCAATGCTTCCTCCCCAGGAGGCTTGATGAAAAGGACGGCGGTGCATTTCCACAGGGATCGTGGCAGCTGTGCCACGGACTCCCTCCGACCGGTGCCATCCCCTGTCCCCCCCATAACGGAGAAGCCACTCCGCGGAGCCGGGTGGACGTGGACGTGGGCCAACGGCATGAGTGCTCATCGGGCCCGGGGGCGCTTTCCGCAGTCAGCTCATGTCTGTGACCCGGGACCTCTCCTAACTTCTAGCTGGTCAAGCGGGGATGCTGCTGTTCTAGGGCCGGGGAGATGGAAGACTTGCTGGAAACAAACGTCCCGGGCACCTCTGGCCGCCTCCTGAGAGGCCGAAGGAACGCAGTGCGGGTGCTTCCTGGAGGAAGCAGGGCTGCAACTGCGAGATGGCTCTCCATGGAAACGCGTCCATATTTAGCCTGGTTGCCATGGAGAAGGCAGGCACCATGTCTAACTCGGGGATCTGTGCAGCCCTGGAGTCTGGTTGGGCTCAATAATAATTCAATAATCCTCAGGCTCGCCAGGCAGGCCTTGGGCAACTCAGATTCTTGACCTCACCTGTTGGAGCCGTCTGGACTCTAGTCCCGGGGTCACCTCGCGTCCTCCTCTGGTCACCCCCAAATACCGACACAACCTCCACCACGAGGAGGAGAGGCAGCCCAGCAGCCCGCGAGGGTGCAAAGAAACACAGTAGGCCTCACTACGGGAAGGCCGTGTTAACAAATGAACAACTGTGTGGTATTTCCAGACCATCAAAATGTGTCAAGTGCACAGAACAAGGAATTTCTCTGAAGCAGGAGGAGGCGAGGGCCCCGGGAAGGATGCTTGTAAACAACTTTGTGGGGGACGCCCCTCAGCAGAGGGAGCCCTGGTGCCTCTGAGGGAGGGCTCCAGAGCCTGACTCCCTAGACGCGGGGGGTCCTCTGGACACCAGGAGGTGACCCAGCGGGCTGGCCGATACCTTTAGGGCAGGGTAGGGAGGCAGCCCACCCCGGGGAAGCTGAGGGGGCTTGCCCCCAACCGAAGGGGCCTACTTTTCCCGGCGAGGCATGCCGCCTGACTTAGACCACAAAGTGTCATGCCTCCAACGCACCACTGGCTCCCCCATTCCCGGATGCACGCATGCACGCATTCATTCACTCGTGCAACCACTCCATGTGCTCAATGCCTACTGCACACGAGCGCTTTGCTGGCGGCTGGGGATGCCAGCAGGAGCCAGTCCCACAAGGTTCCTGCTTTAGGGCACACCAGAGGCCAGTGGGGCGCACGTCTCTGAGCGAGAGATCTGCTGGCACGAGAGAGAAGGCATCAAGGAGGCAGGAGACAGTGACCCGAACTCCCAGGGAGGGGTGGGAAAAGGTTACAGGGAAGCTGGGATGGGGCCGGTGAGGGCGAGGACAGCAGCAGTGAGAGAAGACACCCATGGCCACCCATCTGAGGTGGCTTCTGGTGGCCTTTGAGGCAACTCACTGGGAGACGTCAAGACATGCTCTGTGCCATCTCCGGGCTTCCTGTGAGTTTAGGATTACCCAGCTGTAAGGCTGCTTTCTTGTAACAGCTGCACCTACCTGCCCTTCCCAACGAGACGGCCTCCCTCCGTCTCTGTCTCCTTCACGCACCCCCGTCCCCTCCCACACAGAGAAAGCCGACTTCTCGATGCTTCTTCCCCCTGCTCCTGGCACACATCTTCAGTTCGGGTGCTAGCGCTCACCTCTTCCCACGAAACCTCACTCCTCTCCCCACCTGGCTCCAGTTCTATGCGCCCTATTCCCCCAGAACCTTCCTGTTCAGAGTGTGAGGAGGGGACCTTGCCAGGACAGAGGGCCCCTGCTCCTTTCACAGATGGCTGGAGCCAAAACTCACTGGGCATTTGATACGTGCTAGGTCTCTGCCAAGAATGCTGAGAACTTTCCATGCATTACTTCATTTAACCCTCAGAACACTATGAGAGGGGTCCTAGAATTATGCCCATTTTACTGATGAGGAAACTGATTCCCTAGGAATGTTAGATGATGACCATAAGGGACACTAAGGCTGGGATTAGATCCCTGGCTTCTTCTGCCAGTGGGAGCTGTGAGGGCCACACTCCTTCGTGTATTGGGTTTCTTGGCAAGGACGGTCCTCTAGAGCCTTCAACCTCAAGTGCATGTGCCTGCAGAGCTGTGTAAATACAGCACTCGAGCCTAAGATTTCCTCAAAGTGGTGGCCAGGTCCTTTCCAGAAAATCACTGAACTATTTGCTTATTCTCTTTTGTCCACCAGGGCCCTCCTGTGTCCCGCGCAGGGGAAGGAGCTGAAGGGTCACCAGAGTTCCCATCTTTGGGGAACGCAGCCCAAAGCCATGTTACTGGAGGGCAAGAAGGCCGGCATCCTCTACGCCTCAGCCTTCCTGGGACAGATGCCATGTGGGCGGGAGGGCACCTCAGAACCTAGGAGTTACAGGGAGGCGTTGAGATCTCCTGCTGGGGACTCAAATCTCTGGAAGCAGGGCTGGGGCAAAGGGGAAAGGAAGCTTGGGCCTAACCTCACTTCACCTCCTTCCACATGACACCTTTGGGCCTGCCTGATTACTCAGCCAAAGTAGGCCCTGTGAGCACCCCCAGACCCCAGTTCCTTCCCTAGAGAGCTACTGGGCTCGTGGAGATGAGGCTTGTATTTGGCTACGCTAGCAAAACACACAGTAGCCCTGCCTTCAGCATGCACCCTCCTGCCTCCCAGAAAGTCTCTAGTCTTTCTCTCTGCTCCTCTTCCCCTTCGTTCATCCTGCCAGTGGGTGCCCCACCACTGGGTCAGCTGCTGGGAGCCCTGGCGATGCTCTGTGAGTAACAACCAGCTCATAAGATGAGGGTTCAAAGGGCTAGTCTCTAGCCTCCCGACCCCAGGATGAGTGAGAAGCAAGCTGACAAGAGAGAAGGTGTCCTCCCTGCTGGGTAGCATGGGGAGGTGGGCGTGCTAGGGACCTCTTCAAATCATGAGGAATCACAGGAGCCACCAACTAACATTCAAGTGGAGGGGCATGATGTCTTCAGAGATGACGGAATATTTTGTTCAGGTTTTTCAGAACATCTTTTGCAAATGGGTTTAAATGAGGTCATCCATCTGTCCTGCCTACACCATCATGGGCCAGGGGTAGGGGGGGAGGTGGGGGATGGCCAGGGGTCGGCCATTACAGTGTGGCCGGATGGGAAGTGGGGAGTTGGGACCTGTGGGTCACTCAATCTCTTGGCCCCTGGGCAGCTGCTGGAGCTGGAAGGTTGGGGTCTACTCCAGTAGAGGCCACACGCCCCCCAGATGGAGAGTCTGGGGAAAGGCCTCAGGGCCCAGGACAAATGAGGTGAGGAGAGGCTGTCTGGGGCAATAGTCAGGTTCAGAGACCTGTGGGGTCACAGAATTGTTATCTGAACCCCTCACCTTAGCTATCACCTAAGTATACCAGAGGCAGGCTCCCCCTAGGATCTGTGCCTCAGCCTGGAGGCCTCTTGGGCCTCTGCCCTCACCCACCCAGCCAACTCCTGCTCATCCATCAGAGTTCAGGGTCTCAGCCCCTGAGATCTCACCGCCACCTCACTGAGCTCCTATGGCACCCCAACTTGCGCTTGTCTGGCCCTGAGCTCCCGCCTCATTCTGGGATTGCCTAGTCACTCGTTTCTTCAGGAGCGAGGGACTGCCTCATCTTTCTCTCTGTATCTGGTGAATAGTAGGTGCCCAGGAAACACTTTCTGAGGGAAGGGGTGCATGACTGCGCATCTAGGCCTTCCTGAGTCCGGTTCCTCCTGCCCAGCCTCTGGTCGCAGGCTCACCATTTATAGAAACGTGGCATGGCCAGGCTGGCAGGGGCGTTCAGGCTCACATCTCCAGACTCTTCCTGACCCTTTTTACAGATGAGGACACTGCGACCCAGAAAGTCTGACCAAAACCGGCCCAAGGCCAGTTATTATAAAAGTCACCGTGCTCTCCCTGTGACAAAAGCAAAGGGTCAGGCCCCGTGGGCACCATGGGGGGTCACAGGACAGCTACCCACCTTCAGCAGCCAGCAGCAAGCCTCGGAGAATAAAATGGTAACAACAGCTACATGCCAGCTGTTTTTCTAAGCAGTTTACATGTATTAACTCATTTACATAATAAGCTGATGACTTAGGTACTTTTTTTTTTAAGATTTTATTTATTTACTTGAAAGAGAGATAGCACAAGCAGAGGGAAGAGCAGATCCTCCCTGGGTCCCGGGGTTCATCTGGCACCCCCGGGGAAAGAAAGCCAAAGTGAAGCTGCCTGTGTGCTGTTTGCGTCAGCCGGAGGTCCATGCGGGAGGGAGCCGACCTGGGGCCTTCTCCGGGGCAGCCAGTTAGGGACCCACCCCCCATGTGCGCCCCACCAGGTGCAGCTGCCAGCCATGCCTGCCTCCCAGGCTTCCCGCTTCCAGACGGCTGCACAGAGCACTCGCGTCACCCTCCGGGCCTCCTTACAGACTGACATT